CTTTTAAAGTCCAAATGCGAAATTATAATCAATTAAAGTCAAAATTATAGTTACTCACACCCAGTCGACTGCTCTTCGTATCGGGGTGGAGCGCTTACCAACTTTAAGGCATCTTCATATCGGGGAGGATTTGGAGGATCAGGATGCTCGAGGTCAAGCATAGAAGGTTCGAGAACGAATCCTAAACTCACACTCCATGCCGCTTTTACATTATTAACACGCTAAACTTCCCATTGTATCCCGCACATACTCTTCTTATGGAAAGGTGGTGAAATTGTGCGCCAATTTCAATATAGATTACGGTGCGCATAACATATACCGACTCAAAGTGGTATTTTCTCAGTCCACAATTGATGTACGTATGCGACTACACCATATGCTGATAGACTCATTTTGCTCTCAACAATAGTAGTTTTTACGATCCAACATTACTTCAAACATAAACTTTAACGTAATCACATTTTTAGAACAGAACGAGAAGCTGGAATTAGTTCTTACATTGCTGCTTCAAATTTGCGCTATGGTTTAATTTTTAAAGGACTTAGGTGCAACTTTTGGCAGAGGAAGAGTCCTTAGCTGCTTCCAGTGAAATTTAGTTCAGCAGATGACGAGATCAAATTTGAGATTAGCGTCTCAAGTCCCACTAGATGTAACAAAGCAAAAGTCCAGCCCAAATAATTTATGTTCCTTTGTAAGGTGTTTCTTAGTTGCTACCCTGACATCTATTCGCCTTTTTTTATATATGAGCCAGAAAACTTCCTCATCCTCTAGAAACCTACAAACTTGTGGCTTTTATTGACTTACCAACGATCTGTGGGCCACCTTGTTCATTGTTGGGTTGTATGCTGGCTGTGATTACCATGCTTCTTATATGATTCCTTTCATCGAAATAAAAACGACTGCCTGCAATAATTTTTGAAGGTCTGCGTCATTGATAATGAGGAACTTTCCTCAATTCGCTATGGAACAGAAAAAAGGATTAACTGTTTATTTGTGTCTCATTTGATGAAAAATATCACTTGCGTCATCACCAATTTACTGGTAATTGGGGGTTTATTATGCGTGATAGTATTTAAATGATCCTACAGCTGAGTTGCAAAAGCAAATGAGATAAGTTACATTATCATTAAGAGTAGGATGCTTGAACTAGGATGTATGACCCATATAGAAACGTGAATCGAGTAATCTATCTTCTTAGTCATTGTCTATGTTCTTCGCATTTTGAGATTATGTAACGCATTTACAAATTTGTCCTGCGCTTCTGTGTGTTCATTGCTGTGAGTGAGA